CAATCTTGCAGTCATAGGACCTGTGGGGAGGTAGCTTGTCCGCTTCCTTCTCGCAGAAAACCTCCAAAAACGCTGCGTACTTGATGGGCACTGCTTGCAGCGTGCCTAATTGTAGCTGCGGGTCATCCTCTTCCCCTTCCGGGCTAGGCAGAATGCAATGTTCCGCACAGTAGGAGGAGCCGAAAGTCAGTTGGCGCTGGTACCAAGCCAATGCTGGGCTGTGCCTGTGCAGCCAACTCATGCCTAATACTACAGGCGTGTCCGACAGTTGGGTGACATTGAAGCTGATGACTTCTCGGTGATTCCCAATTTGCATCACCATCGGAGGCGTTTGCTTCACCACCTGCCCCCCCAGCAATTCCCTGCCATCCACCGTGACAACCTTCAGGGGCAGCGTGGCTGGCAGTAGCGCTATGTTGTGCTGTTGAATGAAATCCAGTCCTATAAAGTCTGCGTTACTACCAGAGTCAATGGTAATTGGCACTTCCATAGTGAGTCCATTGGGTAGCTGGAGCGATGCGGTGAGCTGCACCACTGGTTTGGGCGGGAGGGGGTCTGTGGGCTGCAAAATTTCTGGGGACTGCTTCACTGACTTGTCTGGCTGGGCCCCAGTGCCTCTTCCTCCAGCCAGACTCTGTCGTTTCCCTGCTGTGGTTCTCTCTGCTGAGTTGTTTCTGTTACTGTTGCGGAGGCTGCAGTGTGCTTGTGGAGCCTCTGGGGACACTCTTTCGCCATGTGCTGAGCACTGTCGCAGATGTAGCACTTCCTGTTCCCTCTAGGAGGCTTCGCTTTGACTGCTCCCGGTGTTAGGGCTCTGGTTGCTGACTGAGCCCTGGCGCCTCCAATCTCCATCGGTTCCTCTCCCCCTCCCTGCGGAGGTGTGGATTGCGCACGCGCTGCATCCTTGGGAAAGAGGGGAGGTGCTCTCGCTGGCGTGCGTCCCCAACGCCCTTCTTCTTTGCTCCATGGACGTTCTTCCAGACGCACCCCAATCGTCAGCGCCCTCTGGACAACTTCCTGAGTGCTCTGGGGTCTCTCCCCCCTTGCAATTTCGTCTTTCACATTTGCATTCAAGCCTTCCCAAAAAAGGTCTCTGACTGGAGCAGAATCTTTCTCCCAACCCAGCGCGTTGACCAATGCAAAAAAGCGGGAATGATACTGCCTTACACTGGCTCTCCCTTGTTTCAGCCCATGTATGTCTTTTCTGGCGATATCAATGTCTATATTAGATAAAAAACACGAATCCATCGCTTTAATGAATGCATCCGCACTTCGGAGCGCCGGATCCTTATCTCTCCACAGATTGCGCAGCCACGCTTTAGCTTCTCCATGCAAATGGATAAGATAAACCCCACCTTCTCTTGCTCATCTCTAAAGTCTTTATCCAGCAGTTGCAGCGCAAACAGCACGTCTGCTCGGAAGTTAGGGTACTGCTGTAAATTCCCATCGAAATGAGATACAAGGCTGCCTCCTCTTTTCCCCAGCCCAATCCCCTCTGATTTGGGTCCCGGTTGCCCCTGCTTAGTAAGCACTTCCAACCTGGCTTGGAGATCCCTGCAGGCGGCAGCCGCTTCATCTTCCCTTTTCCTGGATGCGAGTATCTCCGCGTTGAGTTGTGTCACTGCATTTTGTAGGGCTGCTATTTGCTGTTCGGTAGTCATCTTGCCTGACTTTTGTGAGCTCGCGAAACACCAATCTTCGCCCCTCGCTGCGTCCACTCACGTTGCGAGGTTTTTGGTGCAAAAGCTGAGATGGAGCTTACTGTCAGAGCTGGCTCCAGGTCCCAGCTCACAGAGGACCAACGCTAGCCGGTAGTAATGTACAAAAGTCTTTATTGAAGTACAGTTTCCATTTTCAAGCCGCAGCGCCCCAGCTCTACGTCTTAGAGGCTAGACCGGCGAAGCTCCATCTGAGTCTCCACCCCCTGTACACCAGCTTAAGACTCTAACCTTACTCCACCTCTTCCGTCTCTCCTTTCTCCTCTGGGTCCTTCTGCCCCCCGGGGTCTCCTCCTTTCTGGACTCTTCTGACGCTGACCCCCCTGACTCCTCCCCCTCCTTTCGGCGGGCTTTGGGACCTGGCTCCCTATCCGGGCTGCCAACTGCGCCGCCCTCCTGTACATTTGAACTTGGCGCGCGCGCCCAGCCTTCCACCTTCCTCTTGACCGTTTCCTCGCTCTCCGTTGGAGGCGTGGCCAATCCTGACTCCTCTCCTCCCGCTGGCGGTGAGCCTCCTGGTCCCGATACCTGGGACTCCTCCCCCTTACTGCGCTCTGGTGGGGAAGCTGGTCCTGATTTCCAACTGCTGCTCTCTGAGTCCCCTCTGGCCCCTTCTTCCTGGGGTGTCCCCCTAGGCACCCCCCTTGCTCTGACCATGGGAGCCCCTTTCTGTGAATCTTCCGATTCGCTGGAAAGACTCAGAGACCTCGGACCGCTGTCATCGCTAACATTTCCTTCGGATTCCTCCCCCTCGCTCTCTATTTCCTCCCTTTCCTGTGCCTCTGCTCCTGAGCCCCTGACAGTAACGCATTTGTGTTAGATGCCATATGCATTTTAATTTTATTGTTTCTATTTTGATATGTTTGCTTCCTTTCACATTTTTTCCTGGCTCCTAATCTTCTCCACTCCTTTTAAATCTTTCCCCCCTGCTCTTCTGTATTCTTAATCCTCCCCACTCCTTTTAAATCACTTCCTCTTGCTTAAGATCCTAATCCTCTTCATTTCTTTCAAGTCCCCTCCCCTTGCCAGAGGATTGCTGGGTTCTCAGAATGAGCAGCTGCTGCACCCACTGTTCTTCACAGCCATGCTGTGGACCACCTGAGTGATGCTCATAGAACTCTTGCACTCAACTCTATTGTTTATTGTGATGTCCCCTTGGAATACTCTGGGCCACTGTGAGAATATGTGTCCCAGCCCAGCTGCCCAGGACTGATAAGGGCCCTGCTACTCTGATGTAAGCCTGCCAGAGCTCTCATGAACACGGAAATAGGGCCATGAGGTTATTTCATTGAGGGCCTCCCTCAAATCTAGAACCAGCCCTGCTAAGATCAGCCAGAGTTTGCACCAGAGTCCACTTCCTCTGTTTAGCACCTCAATGCCCAGCAGTCTCCTCGCCCGAGCTCAGAGCTGGCATTGAGGACTCCCAGACTGCTATTTCTGGGCAACTTCAGCATCCATGCCAAGGCGATTTGCTCCCCATTTGTGAATGCTCTCTATACAGAGTATCACCTGGCACCTTCATTACATATCTTTAGATGCCAGGAACGTATATCTCAACTAGGTATTTTCTCTTCAACCATGGCTTTTTAAATGGTTTTTTTTGGGGGGGAGGGCTGTTAGTTTGTTTTTCATGTATTATGTATCTTGAATTCTAATTTTGTATTTTTATGTTGTGAACCGCCCTGTGACCTTTGGATGAAAGGCAGTATACTGACTAAATAAATAAGACGACGAGGAAGTAGAAGATGGGGATTGTATCATGTTCAAGAACATGTACCATTCATAACCAGCTACCCACCCAGATATGTGGTTTGCAAGCTTGCTACCTCTCTTCTCTCACACATCCATTCTTGTTCCATAGGAATTTCAAGACTATATACATCTGATGTACACAATTTGCTTTCCATATCATTGATGCTAATACATACTAGTAACTTTTACTAACTTCACAGTTTGGGCCCTGCTTTGGGTGTTTCACGAAACCAAGTGAAGTGAGAGGTGGCATTTTCAGCAGTGACAGCACCCTAGTTATGGACTAGCCTTCACAGAGAAATTTATTTGACACCATCACTGTGGTCTTTTCAGATTCAGGTGAAGATCTTTCCGATAGCCTAAATTATCTAAAAGCCCTAAGTAATCTGGGCGTATTACACACACACACAGCTTTTTTTCTGGGGATACGCAGGGGTACACATACCCCTAAACGTTTTGTGAATCTTTGTACTTTTGTTCATTTAATGTATTTATTTTTCCTGATTTGAACTATAAAATGG